ACAAACATTTCGAGTATCGAAAGAATACGTGTCCACGCTTTGTAGTATGCAGTCGCGCACAAACACACACATATAAAACCAGGAGCGATAACTACGAAGCATAGCATAAAGGAGACCGAGAATAGGAAAAACTGTATAGCTATATTCCGTCGTATTCTCTCTCAGGCTAAATCCTATATGTTTGTCTCTTTTTCTCTCATTATTTAGTATAGCAGCCGTTTCATAACTTCGTTACATAGCTCCGTTTCTTTACTTTATTAGATCACTCCTATTCTAAAGAAGTTTTCACTTCAATAATCGTAAATTATCGTACAAGTTGGATTTTTGATCGTACAAGGCGCGTGTGGTGTATGATGCGTACGATAATTATCGTACGAATGGGATCACTGGCCGGATCACTGAGAATACATGCCTTCGAACAGGTCCAGCAGGGCGCATGTGGGGGGATGTGAGAGGTGGAGATGAAAGAAACGATAGCGCGCGTTTTGAATACAGCTAGTTGCCTACGATCGTTTCGAATCGTACAGTATCTAATAACTATTCTGTTCTTTATTATATTCATTTGGGAGATACCTACATTTTTTATTCGTTATTTATCATTTATTTCTAAGCTATCATTATTTTTCACTATTGTGAACAAATTAATATGGCTCGATTTGTTTAAGGTTTTTTGGTAATTGTGAAATCTTTATCAGTTAGTGAAATAAAGAATTGTAAGTATGTTGACGATTGATGAGATTTAGATATATGATAACTAAAAGACTAAAAGGGCAGTTAAAATAAGGAATATGTTAGAATTCTGTTACAATGGAAACGGATGATTTAGAATTAATGAAATATGTTTATCTTCTGTTGTAGCTGTAGTGTTAGTCTCTAGCATATTTCGATGAACAACAATTAAATAATTCTATTAGTCGCGTGTAATAAATTAAATTCTACAATTTTGGGTTTGTATTTATGACTAGCGCATTCGATATTCTATCTTCTTTATTATTATTATTAATTGGCGTTAGGAACTCGAAAGTTCATTGCCGCAAATACCAAATCCCGCCATTATTCCCGTCCCTGAGAACGATCCTTCCATTCGCGGTCTTCGTATCTTATTTCTTTCAGATTCCTTTCTAATATTATCCTCGATGTTCTATCTTCATGGGTACAATTTTGAAATGTTAGTTTTTGTCAGCTACCTACTCCCAAGCTTGAATCGTTTCCATGAGAACAGAATTATAAAAAACAGAGAAAGTCCGTTGAAATGTGATGTATATTCCTAATCTTTATTATCGGTTCGATAATATTTATGCCTATAGTTTTGCAAAGAATATGGGCGTGTTGTCATCATTCCTACTCACTTCTCAAATCCTTTTGTTAAAAATATCTTACTCTGCATATTAAAAAATTACAAAATACATTAGAGAAAAAAATTAGACAACACTGTAGAAAACATTAGAAGTAGATGACAAACTCCATTCAGAAGTAAGTAAATTACTGTTACATTTTTCTTTTCCTTCTTCATAGAATATATTCGATTCATTAAGATTTAAATAAGTCTATTGAATTTCATATTTATATGTTTTTATAAAAAATATATAAAGACTTGTATTGACCCAGGAATACAAAAAAATTATATTAATAATTATAGTATTTACGTAATAAGGAAATTTATGTTAATTTTTTAATCAAATAAAAACATTTTTAAGATGTTGAACGCCCAGCGTGAATCGGTGGAGCTTACCACGGGGCCTAAATTTGAGACTCGTAGTGTACACAGTTCGATAAGCTGAGAGAGCGATACGATTCAATGCATTTTTTAGATTTTTCGTTGCTCAGATCTTTATTTAGACGAGAATATTTAGAAAGATAAGTTTGTGGTTCAAAGAATAAGGACGAGATATGTTATAAGTAATAAGGGTCTCGAAGTGTGGTAGGCTACAGAGTTTAAAAAACATTTCTAGAGAATATCTTTATTAGATCTTTCATTGCATTTTACCAGAACCTTCGTTCAGTCCAGCAGTATTTTCCATATGTTTTTCATAACGTCTTTATTTCATCTATCCTAAAATGTTTGTTATATAGCGCAAGAATGTAGATGARAACGGGAAATAGAAAACCATACTAACAAAAAAAATTTTATACCTGAGTTTCAAAAATAGGATTATTTATTTTTACCTAATTTCTGACGAATTATATTTCCTTTGATAAACATCCTACCATTTTGGTGATTATTTATAACTATCGCATTCAGTATTCCGTTTTTATTGCTTGAATTGTGAAAAGTGCACTTTTTATCAGCTATTCCACCCAGAGACCATACCGGTGACCTTTATTATATATAGTAATAATATTAAAAYAAATAAATCCTACAATTATCTTACTCTTAAAACTGTCCATTCGTCTCATTCTCTCGAAACTTCTATTTTTGAAGGTTTCACTTCTAACACGTGTGATTTGCACACATGATTTTTTTTTTAATAATAAATATATTTTTTTAAACAATTAAAGGTAAAAAAAAGCACCGATTTTGAAAAAATTTTTTCACACGTCCGTCATTTTGTTTTTTTTTTTTGAAAAAAATATACATATTGTTGGTATTATGTCTATATTTAAGCCTAAAGAATAATAATATTTTTAGTTTTTTTATTTCAGACGGCTACAAAGGCTCWGTGCTTCCGCAAATTGAATTGGGGRACTCCAATTTAACGTTAAAAAAAAGGGACAAATCTTGCCYAAATTAGGTTAAAAAAAATTTTTTKTATAGTTTARGATACTGATAAAAACATATTAAAATTTCAAAACGATCGCATTTTGTTTTCCTATTCAAAAAAATTCATGAAAAAGCATTGAAATTTCGGTCTTCACAGGGGGGTACTACCTTAATCTTCGAAAAAATTAATATCATAAGAATATTTTGTTGAGAAAAATTAATAGTTTCTAGATATAGGACAAATAATTTTTTCTCTAATAATGTGTCTAGTCAAATGTACCTAGGCCTAGGTACCTCAAAGTAACATTATATATATATATTACTTATTAAATATTATAATAAATAATTCGAAAGAAATTTGTCATTCGATAAATTTCATGCAATGCGTATTGAATAAAAAGTCTGCATCTAATATAGTCTATTTTTATAACATTTATTTATTTCTTATTTTTGCTTATAGAATATATTTTTGTAATGTTCGTCGTTATAATATTGGTGTCAACCTAAAATATATATATATATATATATTTATAAACATACGCTCCCAATAATTATTTGTTTATAATTTATTTTTTTTATCATGGTATACATGTGTTCAAATATATAATTCACGATGTTTAGCATAATATACTAAACGCGATATTACAAACATATACAACGTGCGAATAATATTAACGATTACGTTGTTCCTGTTGTTATTAGATGTAATTGGTATATATTTCTTCTTATTTCTTTCTTCTTTTTCTTAATATTAACTTTTATGTCGTATTTGTAGTTTAGTAAAACAAGTCGATTCAATCGTCAACTTCTCCAATAGTATTATTATTCTTTTTCTTTTGGATGGGACATATAATAATTAAGGAAATAACTAATATTTACTCATAAGGCTGTTTCGTCATAATAATTGGTACTCGTTTTTGTTTTCCTTTATCTTCTTTTTTAAATATTAATTTTGATGTATTTACATATAATATTGCGTGTTTGTAAAATTCGATCGTATCATATCTTTTATAATAATTACTTTCTCCTTTTATGCAAGAGATAAACAATCGGTTAATTAATTATATAAAGAGAAATTAATAGAAAATTATAAATTCGAGAATCAAATTCAGCTTGTGACGAAAGAAAAAAAGAAATTACAAGAATATTTTAAGAATGTATTTTTAAAATGAATAAAATATATTGAATTTTTTGTGTAAACGAGCTTATATTATGATATATCTTTTTATTTAATTTTATCAAGTTCACAAAGAAATATTTCAATTAATTTAATTAATTCATAATAATATATACAAGCTTATTTTTGATATAAAAAAAAATTTCGAGCAGCGTTCGATCGATGTGTTAAAAAAAAAA